TCTGAACGAGCAGGAAGAAAGCCGATTCCATGCTAGATGTGAATACGCGTGTATCGAGAAATGAATCTAGAGCTATGAGATTTCCTTTATCCCTTAATTATCTACCACCTGGAACAGTGTAAACAGGAAATAAAGCCGATCAACCTAATCATAGGTGAGGTATGTTCGGTATGCACGCAAATACGCCCGGTACAAATGAGACGATACACCATACTGAAAGGAAGCATCGATCTTTGGAATAGAACGAGATTACTTACTAGACCGTGTGTATATCGGAACTCCGCAATAAAATTGAAATTGATCGACGATACACAGAATAGGATTACTTTTGCTTTAAAATTACTTGCGTATAAACCAAATTATTATTAATAATTGATTTCCGGAAACTGCTTCGAAACGCGTCTTTTAAACATTTAAACATACGACAAATAATAAACTTCCTTATTTTAGATATAATATATTTCTTATAATTCCTCAAATTTTGCAGAATTTTATATTTAATTTTCAGAAAGTTTTTTAATCTATTAAATTTATCACCTAATATATATTTATACATTTAATTATCTTATTTTACACCTTTTTTGTAACTTCATTGATACTTCAATAATATACATATAATTAATTTCGTAATATGTTGATCAAGATAGCTTAACTCGACTTGGTTAGTAAATTCTGTTATTAATTTCATAAAGAACAGCCGAAAATTTATTAATACAAAGACTTTTAATCATTGAGTGAAAAGAGGTCTAATTCAAAGTATATAATTAATTTAGATATTTCAATACAAAAAAGAAGCTACTTATAACTGTAATTTCTTTTATTTCCGTTTTTATATGCGATTATGATCTATAATATCTTGTATAGGGATAAATGAAGGATGGACGTTATAAAAATAGCGACAAGTTAATCTATAGGTACTTAATGTATACTTAATATTCCTAGCATGGACACCTTTCTGTCTATAATTATGATAGAATGCTACTTTGTATCTGTCATAATTAGCCGATTTGAATGCACATCGCGCGTCTGTCTAATCGATTTATGGTTTTTGAGATATTTCTTTTTTTTAGATGAATGCGCTTCTCTCTTTCGCCTGCACAGTGCATTAGCAATTTTTTCCAAATCACAGATCTAATTAGTCAAGCTTGTATGAAGCCATACGTTTCATATTTATGAAGACATATTTATGAACTGTAATTAAGTTAAAATGTAGTTTGACTGATCAATCGAAAGTGTTTCTCGATTCTTTGAAAAAACCGCAGTTATATTAATGGACTTGAAAATTTAAAATAATTAAAGTTAAAATTACAATGTTTGATTTTTTTAAAATTATCTAAACAATATTATTAATATGTTATTTTTTTAAGGTGTTTTCAACTGCATTTCCAGAAAATTTATATTTACAAGAATATATTATTGATCGATTACATTTATTTTAAGGCAGTGAATCTGTGCTATATTATTACTTATTTCTAATGTACTTATTTTTATTATAGCATTCTTTTTACCTTGATACATACATTTTTTTCACAATTTCATTACGTAAATTATTTTATTTTATTTAAAACAAAACATAATTTCTCACTCACCAATACGATGCGCAGCAGCGGAGTTGTAATTATAAGAAGTACCTACCTTGAACTATAAAAAACCAACATATTCAAATTATAGTGTAACGTTTGAAACAATTACTTTAAAAGATTAATTTGTTGCATAAATATATAATAAATTATTTACCTCGTGGTTGCTCCATCGTGGCATGATGCCTCCCAGGCCTCCTCCTCCTCTTAGATTTTGTTGCACAAGACACACGCATTCGATATAACACTCGCGAAAGCACACTTACCTAATTATTATCGTGTATGTACTAATGATTAGAATATTTGATCGAGCGTAATACTTTCGTTTCAATTACACGCTGCACGCACTTTATTACGATGGAGAAACAATGCGAGGAAGATCCGATTTCACAAAGTTGCGATTAGCAAATTAAATACGAACGAAAATTAAAATAAATCGCATTATACAAACATCGAATTTACGATATGCGTTATTAAAGCATCAAGTGTAATTATAATTATATTAATCAAACGTGATCAAACATGAACAAGAATAAATCGAGATATCTTTATTGCAATAGATAATCATCTCGAATCGGGAAGAATCAATTAGTTCGCGGATAGTAAATTGCTAATTGTTATTTGCGAGGAAATGAATTAGATGTTTCGCACGTGTCGCGATCGTCGTTCGACGAGTAATGCGGAGGTAAGGGGAATCGTTCGCACCGCTGGCCGTTGATCGACGCGAGCATTCAAACAATAACACATCAGGTCATCGCGTCGGTTATCAATCGCGTAGTGGGGGTCGCATGTGGGGATCGCTCTATTATTCCTCGCTTATCGTCGCATTACCTCTCGAGATTTGGTTGTTGAAGTATCGGGAGATGTGTAGAATCACTTGCTTCGAATAATTAGCGACGAGTATGCTCAATTAATTGACTCATGATTACTGTAATACTTAAGCGTTTAGATATTATCGAAATAATATGGTTGAATTATTCATACGAATCGAGTGTCGTCGCGAGGCGTATTTGATTTTTTATTACGAATGAGGTGTTTGAAATTGCGATATATGTTGGAGTATCAGAAGCATCTCCTATGCGTTAAAAAAAATCACACGAGTAATGTACAGCAATTAATCGTAATTGTTGTACTTTAATACGAACTTTCGATCATACAGTGATCATACAGTCGTTTAATCTTCCTTCAACATTTGTCTATAAAATGATGCGTACCATTCGAATTTAATATTATTTGATAGTAAAGACTTATTAACTATTAGGAACGTTTAACAGGCAATAAAAGAATCTTATGTAATTGCATGGTATTCTCGTGAATTCATTCGTTACGCGAAACACTTATACGGGACTCAAGAGGGTCATAACTTTTTATGCATTCTTTTTTCTCATTATTGTTGCGTCGTAATGCAATGAAGTGCGTGTCGCGAAAAGTGCCGTGCGGCCGTCGTATTCCGGTGATTATTACACACGTGATTGTAATCAACTGCGTTTTTGCGAGTGTTGTATTGTGTAAGTGCAACGGTTAAGAGGGTGGCTGAGAGGAGGAGGTCTGGGAGGCATCTGGCGACGGTGGAGCAACCTCAGGGTAACTTATCATTTATGCTTACTGTATATACTTATGTTATTTTGTTATATTGTTACTTGCAAAATTAATCATTTATTTCCGTGTCATATAAAAAATTATTCGCGTGTCACACAAAAAATTATTCGCGTGTTCACATAAAAAATTTCGTGTGCTATTATACATAATATAATATAATATCTATCTATATTCAAGATATTTTTGAATCAGTACATTTTAGAAGATACTTAAAATATTTACAAGTAGTAGAAATTATGTAACAAATATTTATACTTATACGTATATCAAAATTTTTTGAACTTCAAATTTAAATTGAATGGATGGATTATTTCTGTATGAATTAGACTTTTATTTATAAAATTCAAAAAAAAATTTTTGAAAATTTTTTTTAATTAATATTTATTAAAGATAAGTAAAATGATTCAATATGCGTAATAATCATTTCCTAGAATATTAATTATTTTAAGTGCTATTCTAATTTAGATATGTTTATTTTCATCTAATTGTAAGCGTAATTTTTTAATTCCAGGTCCAATGCAGTTACAACTCCGCTGCTGCGCTTCATATTGGTGAGTGATTTATCTTGTATTCTAAATTACAGTAATGGATCTGTGAAAAATCTAGATCAAATGTATATATCATATTAAAACTATACAATATTATAGATAAATAGAATATATCACAGATTTATTGCCGTAAAATGGATGAATTAAAATGGATTAGGATTAGTATTTCATCCTGGATAATTTGCATTTATTGATTTAGTTTACATGCACAAAATTTATACAAATTTTCAGGAAATGTAATTGGAAACTATGAAGAATTATTAAGAAATGATATAATAATAATATTGGTTAGACAATTTTTAGAGTATCAAGTACGTTATGATTTATACAGATTAAATTTTTCAATCTATTGGTTAAGTGAATAATTGAAAAAAAGTAAAATATAGTGCTGTAATAATTAAAATACTTTTGGAATATAATTTAATTTTAATTTCTTCATAGTTCTCACACACTTTTTGAGCAACAACATAGGATTTAACCTCTTTCTACATATTCAGGATGAAATATATAAATTAATGGTTGAAAAAATAACTTCGAGATTTTTTAAAATACATTATATGTATAAATCAAAGAAAGATAGGAAATATATATGCCGATTATATATATACAGGGTGTTTCCAAATTAAATGGCAAAACTTCGGGAGCGTGTAGAGGAGTAAAAAACTAAGAAAAAAAGTCCTATAGACATATGCTCCTTTTTGCTTTGTTTCGCAGGAAATCACGAAAAAAGATGCCTTTAAAGCATTACCGTTGCAGAAACCGTATACAAAAACCATATCAGCATATTCACTATTAGAATACGTACGCGGCATATTGCAAAAGACAAAATTCATCTACTGTTAAAGGCTTTCAAAGAGCGACTGACAAATTCATAACAGAAAGTGGAAAATGTAATCAAATATGTCGGTGCTAGATATGGCAAGAAATGTAAACATTTTTTTTCGATTTCTCTGAAACGGAGCAAAAACGAGCATATGTCTATAGGACTTTTTTTCTTAGTTTTTTACTCCTCTACACGCTCCCGAAGTTTTGCGATTTAATTTGGAAACACCCTGTATATATATTCTAATCTGTTATTAATTTATCAATTCATATATTTATTAATAATTCATAAGTGTTATCGCTCATAACGTGGTAAAGAAAGTAAGTAAAAAAGAGAGTTACGTAGAACATAATTTTCGATATTCTGCATTTTGAATTTTCCCATATTTTACGAAACGTTCTCATGATTCATGTCAGTGAAAATGAATAGCAAAGAAAAAGTTTTACTTACCGAGCCGTAAAGTAGACCGCAAGAATCCATACACACGAAAAGGCAGGTTGCCATGCTTTGGATCCTTAATTGTCCTCTTGACGTTGATATCCTTTGAAAGATAGCTGAAAAAAAACATAGAGATGACAGTTAACATCAACTATCAAAATTTTTTTTTCTCCTAAATGCATTTATTATGACGTTATCTCATAAGCATTTTAATACGAATATAAACTATCGAAATTAACCGTGTATAATTGGGCGAGCGAGGAACAGGTTTTTCAAATGTTTTAATCTGTGGTTAGTCTTGTCGCTTATTGAAGGCCTTTTTTTCTTCAATGATACAATCTTCGGTGCCATGAATACGAATTTTCAATGCCACTCGTAATTCATGACACTTATCTCGAGCGTTCAATGTTCGAAGCTATTCGTGTCTGGCTTTGATGAATGAAGTCGTAATGCAAAGTTGCAATTCGCGATGATACGGAGACATGCAACAACGACGAATCGGTATTCCATACTATGGATAAAGCTTGTCGTCGAGCGAAAATTACGCATCGGAATAACACTAAAGTCCGTCTTTAGCGTCCATTTGGCGTGACATTGCATACGCCAGTCTTATTGCGAACGGAATATATCCCGCGTAATGTCCTAAAGAGACGCGACCAGTAAATGAGATGCGTTTTCAGGAAATAACGATCGATTTTTATCCATTTCAAATTTTTTCCCTGGGAGAAATGCGAAGCCTGTTGCACTTGATAGGTCGGCCACAGTTCCGTATTGAGTATACGACGCTTAATGTAATCATCTTAATTCCTCAAAGCCGCTTCTCCGTAGATACTGAACGCGTAGGGTGCGTATTAAAGACGTGCGTGACATGATCTAGCGTCGTAAAACGTACGCGATCATGTGCACCTGAATGCGAGTCTGGTAAATGAAATGAGTTATCAGGAATGGTCGGTTTTCCTCTTTCTTTCCTTTTGGTTCTGGGATTTCTCGGGAGAGAAGCGTATACAATGTTCGGCTCATAGATCGCGTCGCTCATTCCGCGGTATACTGACAGAGTACGTGCTTACATAGTGTAATCATTTTAATTTCTCAATATAGTTCCCGGGATACGTCGGCACGTAACATTAAAGACGTGCGTGACAATCTCGCATCGCAAAACGAACGCAATCACATACCTATCTTTACCCAGACATGAACCACGCGATGCGCATGCTAAATACAGGGTGTTCAATGCGGTAATTCATTGCTTGATCTCTTAATCCCTTTCGATATTGCGAAATAATAAGACGAGTGCGGCGCACGGTTTGCGTACATGCGTAAAAAGCCGCGTAATTAAGCTTCAATGCGAGAGTGCGGAAATCGCGAGTGACATGCTGCCACGTTATCGTTCGCAAGTTCTACTTTCGACTGCGAGAATGCGTGAATTTTTAATAATAGCTTTCGTCGAGAGAAAAATGTTAATATATTTTATCTATTATAATTATATATTATTAAATCTATAGTATCAAATTTAACGTAATGTGAGTCGCCACTGCTCCTACACTGAAAAAAAAGATTGACTGCTGCAGCAAATTAGATTGTAAAATATGGCATAGCATTTTTGGCTGTAGTAGCCAATTTTTGATTGCAGCGGCCAATTTTGCTTGCGTAAGCCTATCCATAATGTCAGTATAGGATTTCGATAGGCTAACGCAACCAAAAATTGACTGCTGCAACCAATTAAAAATGCTATGTTATATTCGGCCAATCTTTTTTTCAGTGTATTCAATCATATCGTTATTTTATACTAAAACAATGGTTATATTTGACACTGTATAGTGTCAAATTGACACGATATAGTGTCATATATAACTATCGTTTTGGTAAAAAATAATGATATATTTAGTAGGAGCAGTGGCGACTCACGTTAGGTTAAATTTGACATTATAGATTTAACATATACATTTCTTTATCAACATATATCTATTTCACGGTATTTAACTTCTTATAATTAAAAAATCGATGTTTAAAATTAATTTTAATCGAGAATAAGAAATCGCGCAGGTTAATTTTATGGATGATTAGCCAGACTGGCTTGAAAGTGTCTCTACCATCTTTTAGCACTCAACATGTTGCTGTCATCGCGATTAAACATGCTGTCGCATCGCGAAGATGCATCGGTATGCTAGTCATTTACTCCAACGATTTATGCACGAAGCGTAAATATCTCGTATATATTTGCGGTTTTAAGAAGCGACTTACGCATTATTTCTTCGAGACATAGCACCGTTTAATATGCTGAATGCACAGTAAATATTAACGACCCATTTAACTAGAAATTATTTCAGATTTTACAGAAAGAAAATAGATAATTATTTTTTGATAAAAAATTTAGAGTCAACTTTTATTAATGCACGTTACGATGTTAATAATATGATGTTACTAATAATCATCAAATTATAAATTAATTGAAATAATTTAATTTTTCGCGAATTGAATTTTTGAAATAAAAAATGATAACGAAATATTATTTATTGTACAATTTTAATTGAATTGAAATTCAAAATCTGATTAAAATCTGAATTTAATTCTTTTTCTCTCCTACCTCTTTCATTTTCTTTGCATTTGCAACTGCAAGATGCATATTTTTTTATCTTACGTTTTCTTGATCTCTGGATACGCGGCTTCAAATCAACGATCATCAAACTGGAATCATGTAACTGCGAAGATTCGAGTTCGGTTTCTGCATATTTATATCAGCGCAGCATTAATTAGGAATAGCTCTTTTTATGATCGGAAACGCATCGATTAAGTGTAACTCACCACCTCGGAAAATCAACGATGATAACAGCTCGCGCGGCTCTGTTATTAGAGTATGTGAGCGTATCCGCGGTTAAGATATTCAAGGCGTGTATAAGACGTACGGAAAAGAAAAGGTTCACACATGATCGTTTTACCCATCTGCTATAAACGGTACAAGAGCGCAAGTACGCAATGTTAATGAACGTCCTAAAAGAGGATTTAACGCAGCTAGAATGAGGAGTTTCGCGGAGAAAACAGTGTCGTAAAGTAACAATATTTCCTTTACTGCTATAATTCGCTGGTAATCGGTAATACTCGAGTGATTAATGAGATAAAATTATCGGGTATTACATGATAATGGTTATGACAAAATGATATATCCAGATATATAATCTCTAATTATATTTTTTAAGAAACCTTATAAGAAACTTATAAGGTTAATTAATATTAACGTGATTAATCAAAAACGTATAAATTTAAAAAGTTTTCTGGGGGATAAACAAGATTACGTGCTGCATTATAACGTGATTTCACTTAGTATGTTGAAGGGATCATTAAAAGAATTAGCAATAGGAATACACAATTATACAAAATATCGAACCGTATATTATAAGAAAAATAATAAGAAAATGTGGTAGTTAATAACAAGATAGTTATACATATAATAAGATAGCATACGGAATTAAAAAAGCTACCCTATAATACTATTTCAAAGTACATGTATATACCTATTTCTTTTTGCAATTGTGGCGTAACACGTAACGCATAATATGATGATCAGTTAAGAAGTAATTGTACATTTCAATTATACTTGTTCTTGCACTTTAAAAGAAACCTATGATTGACGTTAATACATTACTGTGATATTATTACTTTCCGTCAAATTATAGTAAATATCAGTAAAATTCTATCATTATTTCACTGTTAATTATTTTATGATTTAACAATTATTATTTCTTTTATTATAATTAATGTACATATCTCTTTATAGATATTTTTATATTATTTTAGTGATAAAATTTCTGATTAACTATTTAACTAATACATGTATTTAAAAAACTATGAAAGTCGTTATTAAACGAAAATCAAACAAAACGTTGATGAATGTTCATGATTTATCATTTGAGTAGAGGCCTAAGATATGTTAATGCTATACAATTTAAGAGAAGATAGAGACGGCCAGAGTTAAATTTAGCGTGTAACGTAGGTCGCGATGTCATACACAAACATCGATTACTGATTTTACACGTGTTCATACTTTTCATTTTTACGAGCCTGATCTTGTGCTATATTAGTCGCGCGAAGATTAATTAGGTATACCGGAATGCGTGCACGAATTGACGATGTCGTTACGATATGAACTGGGCGCGACATAGCACTCGCGATTCGCGACAATAAGCCTCATACATCGACGGAATACCGATGGTCTTATCTAAGCGTATAATTTATTCAAATTGCCGCACATAAAAAAATCACAAGTCTACGTACAGTAACATTTCCGCGAAGCATGTTATTGCATAGAAGCGTCTACGAGACATTCAAAGAGAACTAGTCGATTTATACCAGTTGCTAGAATCCATCGACTGTTGGTATCAACTAATGGTGATATCATAATGCTTTTTCCAAAAGTGATATCGCTTTCTGCGTCATAGATTATTAATAATACCTAGAAGGAGTTACTCCTATTGACGCTTTTAAACCTTTGTGAAGACTGGAGACACATTTGAACTATTCATTTGAGCAATGGAATATTTTGTATTTTAAAAAGAAAATGAAAAATTTATGAGACTATTATATGCAAAATCTAATTTTATATAAATAATATTTTTTGTCATCAATAGTCGGTGAAGAAAAAAGAATTTAAATTGTTGTATGCTTAAAATAATTATTTAATATTGCTATAAAGAGTAATATATTTTTATTTTACATAAATGAAAATTGTGCTCTTTTTATATTTCTTCTATCGCACGCGATATGTTTTTCAAAATATAGTTGGATGTTTTTTTCTTCGAAGCATTTGACATATGTCGCAGGATCAATATTTTTTTTCAAGCGCAGTTTTGCATCAATCTCCGAGGTACATGCATTTTATTGCTAATTTTGGAATTTCAATGAGGGCGCGCGTAAGCAATATTAGACATCGGATGTAGTTTACGTCTTTGGTTGGTGCATTGCGAATGGTATAAATAATAAGGGCATAAATTCGATTCAAGAAACAAGTTAGAGTCTCCTCGGGAGTGTCCCGGCGCCTAAACGTTTCGGCTCAATTGCATGCTGCCTTTGGTGACGTTAAATTATGGATATGTTTATTACGAGTATAATAATTCAGGTCGAA